TCTTTACTGGCGACATCACAGCCAAATCAGTTTCTACTAGGGACACACCAGTCAAGATACTCTTTACTGGCGACATCACAGCCAAATCAGTTTCTACTAGGGACACACCAGCCAAGATACTCTTTACTGGCGACATCACAGCCAAATCAGTTTCTACTAGGGACACACCAGTCAAGATACTCTTTACTGGCGACATCACAGCCAAATGAATTTCTACTAGGGACACACCAGTCAAATTACTCTTTACTGGCGAGAGCCGATAGTAAAGCCAAATTAACCTCTACTAACTATAACACACCACAGCAGCCTCTTCCGGCGACGTAACAGTCAAAATTAGCTTTTTCTGGCAGCATAACAGCCTCTATTGACGAAATAATGGTCAAGTAAGTCTCTGCTAAGGACACCACAGCCACATTAACTTCTGCTGGCAGCGATAATTTTACTGCAGGGGAATGATGTGAACTGTCTCGCTTGGCTTGGTGAAAACTGTAACCATTCTTTAAAACTTTCTCAGAGATTGATCCCGCCATCGTTAACCTGCTTTCCTAACGGCACAGTTCTGGGAAGTAATCATATTGTAAAGAAATCTATACTAATTATCCATAAAGCGAACTATTACCAAACATATTGTAGAATACTTCTCATTACGTCCAAAGACCACCTGTTCCCCTGTCTTTTTGGATATCTTAACAGAGGCCAAAGGCCAAAATTACCCCATATTCGTTTTAGCTTTATAAACATGAACTACTTTCTCGGAGTTAAACTTGTTCTATTTTGGTTCAGTAACTGATCCTTGGAAACAGGTGATATCCATTACAAGAACCTGCAACTTCATTCTCGAGCCTCTCTCAATCTCCCAGTTCGTTTTAACCAGAATTGGCAGGAAAAGGTTCTATATTTATAACTATTGCTATCTCTCTTTAGATACAATCCACTGCGGTTTCCACAGGCAACAATCCAAATATAACTCGAAACAGTAGCCCACCAAATATAACTGGAAACATTAGTCACACCAAATATAACTGGAAACATTAGTCAGGGAGGTTTTTCTCAAACGAAGTATATTGATGAACCTCCATTCACAAGTTAATTGTAGACTTGGTATATTAATGAACTTACTTCCATAAGTTCATTGTAGACTTGGTATATTGATGAACCTCCATTCATAAGTTAATTGGCCATTTTTATACATGTTTATACATTTCGCAGAGGAACCATGCTAGGTTATTTTGGGATGAACACTATGATATTCTTTCCCAGATGAGTTCAAAGTACATCTCCGTCTTGAGTGTCACAATTTTAAACATAAACATCAATGCTATTTCCCAACTGTTTCTTCTAACAGTTACAAAAGCGTCTATTTCAATGACTTCCATACTTACTGTCAGTCATCAAGTATAAGATAGATTGACGGACAACTCCAAATCTCCCTCAATAAATTGTATGAGTAGACCACTGTAAATTAATATCATTTACATGCACTTCCGCCACTAACGAGAACTGTACCCTAATCCTGAGCTGCATCTGGAGATTCACAAGTAACATTTACTCCACACACTTTAAGTAGTTTAATTTTAAGTGTACAAGAGCACTGAACGTCTTCCACATGGTCACTTACGCCTCTTGAACAGTGGATATGTGTTCCATGCTCACCCTCTATCATGACTCTATTTGATCTAACCTGGAGTACAAGTCCATGATCTACATCTTAACCAATCACTCTGAATTGAATATGTTAGACCCTGTACGTCATTAAGGGCCTTGGTTCTGAACAGGGTCTTTCAGCAGGGTTATAAACCCCCACTTCACCTCATATGTTGGTCCCATTCTTTACAGTATGTTTTTAAGTTTTAATCACTACCACCTTATCCCATCTGACAATATATCTTTATACAACGGTTGAATGCGCTTTTCCCAAGTGGAATATCTGGTATTGCTACTTTTGGCCTATTGGAATTCAAGCAAAGTGAACTGTAGCTGGTTTGGCATTGAATGATATTACATAATCCGATGGTTGTTGCATCCCGTCATGGGTTGGTTCCATTCCAGTCTATATATTTCTTTACTCCTGACTGGAATATCAACTTTCCTTAAACAAAACCCTTTTCAGCCTTGCTTCTAGTACCATTTTTCTGTATGGCTCCAAGCCAGTTGATTATGTGTGTTTTGGTTTGGTGCATAAACCTCCTCCACAGTTTCTGTGTTCACTAGGGTTTGCCGAAACCTCAGCCAAATTCGTCTCTACCGGTAACATCAAACGTTATATATGTATTTCAAGAGTCCTTAATGGCAAGGCTTCGTGCTAGGTGGTAGGTGATTTTGGGTGATAAAAGCACAACATACTCTTCTAAATAAAGATTACCATTAATGGTTAATCTTATAGTTTGCCCATTATTCAAATGGATGAAGGAAGCTCTCCTCACCACAATTTGCATTTGACATAATCTTTGGTTTCTGTGGTGGACAAAACATATTGAGCCCAATGTACATCTGTGGTTTAACAACAGAAAAAACAGCAGGAAAATTTTTACTTATTAGTAATTTAGACTTCTAAAGACATTATGGGATAAAATATTAAGGAATCTTATGTGAATAAGCTTAACAAATTAAAACGTGATATGGAAGGCTGTTTGTTCAAATCACTATTTCTGACTTTTTTTTTAAAAAAACTTTCTAACTTAGCAGAGCATTGTACTACATATATAATTTCGACATATTAAAATTATCAATGAGCTAGTAATAATAGTACAGTGGGTTGAATATTTTAAAATATATACAACTATTTTCTCCTGAAAGAGTAGCATCTAATAGGTTCTTCTGAGCCATGTTTGTAATATTCAGAAAGTATAATACGTACTTTGACAGAAATCCTTGTTAAAATAATCCGACTGAATTTTAAGTATTTTTTTTGGTAGAGACAGTATCGAACCTCTAATTGTAATATCATAAGTCATCAAGTTTATTACTGAGACACTGTAGACATGTATGCGATATGCTTCCCTCGAAAAGATTTGATCATAAGTTACAGTTTAGATAGTTCGTAAGACTGAAGCACATAAAATATGTGTAAAAAATTATAAACATAATTTAGATTTAATCAGGATGACGTAAGTCACTTGACTTAAGGTTCTAACCCCATTTGTTGGATGAAAGTAAAAACTATATTGTTTTGCTTTATTTTTTATGCTGGAAACATGAACTAAGGATGCTGTATTGTCCAGTACTGTTTGTTAATCAGACTTTTCGAATGTCAAGTGAATATATTGTTGAAATACAGGGTTTTTATCAAAATAAGAAATATATAATTTATTATTTCCAATTCACTATTAATTATATTTTTATTGTTGAATTACATCAAACTTTGGAAATGTCAAGTATATTTATTGTTAAAGTACATATAATGTTAAAGTATAACTATTGTTAAAGTATATCTATTGTTAAAGTACATCTATTGTCAAGTACATCTATTATTAAAGTACATCTATTATCAAGTACATTTGTTATCAGTACATCTGTTATCAAGTATATCTATTGTTAAAGTACATCTATTATCAAGTACATCTAATGTTAAAGTACATATATTGTTAAAGTACATCTATTATCAAGTACATCTAATGTTAAAGTACATCTATTGTCAAGTACATCTATTGTTAAAGTACATCTATTATCAAGTACATCTATTATCAAGTACATCTATTATCAAGTACATCTATTGTTAAAGCACATTTACTGTTAAAGTACATTTGCTGTTCAAGTACATCTATTGTCAAGTAAATCTACTGTTAAAGTACATCTATTGTTAAAGTACATCTATTGTCAAGTAAATCCACTGTTAAATTACACCTATTGGCAAGTGCATCTATTGTTAACGTACATCTATTATCAGTACATCTATTGTTAAAGTACATCTATTGTTAAAATACATCTAATGTCAAGTACATCTGTTGTTAAGATACATCTAATGTCAAGTACATCTATTGTTAAAGTACATCTATTGTTAAAATACATCTAATGTCAAGTACATCTATTGTTAAAGTATATCTATTGTTAAAATACATCTAATGTCAAGTACATCTATTGTTAAAGTATATCTACTGTTAAAATACATCTACTGTCAAGTACATTTATTGTTAAAGTACATCTATTGGCAAGTACATCTATTGTTAACGTACATCTATTGGCAAGTACATCTATTGTTAAAGTACAGGGTTTCGTTAGAAGATTAATTATATGGTATACTATTTCCAGATCAACAGTTGAGCTTTAGGAGATACCCTCAACCGTTCCCTGTGTCATTTCTAGAAATGAAAGCTCGTCCATTTGTAGCAGTTTCTGGATGTTTTCTGACTTATCTTGGTCTTGGTGTAATACATCTGTTTGGAAACATCAATCCTTACATAACGTCTTACCTCAGAAAAAGAGTTGACAATAACACAACATATGAACAGACTGCCTGGCTTATCTACACAACTGAATCTGTAGGTTCACTGTTCTTCTGTGGAGTTTGGCTGGCTGATCGGATTGGGCATCGGTCTAGCATCCTGATTGGTACTGTTATTTTCAGGTGAGACAGTAATGGGAGTTTAATATCAGACAATAACAAATACACTTCTTGAGTGTTTGTTGTGGTCTTAATATTTATGTGTCAATACACTCCGTATTTATTTCATTCGTGTAATTACATAAATTGTTTTTTTTTTAATTAAAGAGCCATAAAAACTAAGTATTATTTATGTGGTTTTGTAGTTTGAATTTAACTAATTACAGATCTAAGTACATGGATCAAAATGTACTCTACTTTTCAAAACATCGTAGAAAATAAATTACTTACAGTGCATTTTCTTTATCATCAGTTTTGGAACGGCAGCGACGTATTGGACTATACAACACAGTTTGGAAGCTACGATTGCCACCTTAGGAGTGGTTGTTAATGTTGGATTTGACTGTTGTTATGGCTTTCCATTAGCTACAGCAATGATGGTATGTACAACTAGTCAGACATTGTATTCTAAAATTTTATATTTGCTGAAAACAGCTGTGCTAGAAAAAATTTGACAGGCAAGAAAATAAAAAGTGTATTGGAGTTAACAGGAATACATAATCTTTACAGAAGCAGATTATCATAAAAGCAAATCTCACTTACAAAACTGCCATACAATACTGTGAAAATATCATCTGCGACAGTCCCTTGTGGAGTAATTAACCAATAGAGAGATTATCTATTGCACATGAAAAGGCATTTTCAACCCTAATGACATTTAAAGTACATGTGGAAAAAATAGGTCCTCGCAATACGGATTCTTGTATATGATGAGATAATCACTCAGGGAAGATTTTGCCTGTTCACTTTACCTTCTTTGGGATCCGAAGATTCATCCAAGTGTTTTTATGGTGACCTTTGAATGGAGGAAGAAGATTGTGGTTGAGTGGCGAAAAAGGTCACTGCGACACACCACTTCGGGCTTTACCTTCTGTATACTATAGGTCCTGATGTAGCCCCCTCAGTGTTAATTGACTGGTAAATTGTGTTTAGGGTTGACCTGATTCCAGTAGTGGATGTCCTCATTGGGTGTTGTAGCATTGTCTAGTACAGTTCATACGACACCAAAGTGTACTATTCTTGATACTTTGAGCTTTTGATAATGTAGCACTTCGTGATAAGTTGGGTTGGTTGGCACAAAACTGTCAATTTTTTCGTATTAAAAAACGACCTCAGTTGTTACATTGATTAGTCATAAAATGACTATAAAGTGATATTCTGTTCTTGTGCCACTGTCATCATGGTTTCGTGTACCTTCGGTGCCACCCTCCTTTAGGCTAGGAAGAACTAGGTGTCACCCTCCTTCAGGCTAGGAAGAACTAGGTGGAGCTTATCAGTTTTTGAAAGTCAGTAAAGAAATTACAACCTAGAGACCTCCTTACAAAAACATCGCAACCTTACATCAGTTAGCTTGCTGTGAGTTCCAAGTTTATTAAGGCAATGGCCATTGAGATTACCATTCACATTACTATATTACTTCGAACAGTCTACGAGAAGTTGTAGTTGAAAGGGATCTTCTTCACGTTCCCTACTCAAATATTTTTGCTGGTCACCCCATTCAAGTAGTATCAGCTGTTAAGCAAATATTCACTCACGAAAATGAAAATAGGATGCTTCTGTAAACTTTCACATCTTCAAACCCACTTTTTAAAGTAAAGAAACATTATTTGAAATGTAGCGTCTAACCCTATATTCCAAAGGCGTTTTGTTGTGTTCACTGTCAGCAGTTGGAACACTGAGATACACATCCTCGTGTTTCTTTAGTCTGTGCTCGTTACAGTTGGAAGAACCACAATAGAAACAAGTAATAGGTGAATCGCTCTGTGTCAACTGGACAAGTTTACATCCCTCTTATATTTTTATCTGTACTAAGAATAAAATATCTAAATAATATCCACTCTTCCCAGTCTTGTATAGTGGCACTTCCGTCAAAACATAATTATGCTGCTGCACTCCATTCCACTGCTACTATGGGAGTGCAGAAAGATCCCTATGTTCCTCTTTTGCCCTCCTTAGACAACCAGGCGCATAAATCTACGTCTACCTCATCGCTATCTGTGCAGGCAGCACCAATAAGCAATCGAGACCAGTTCTATTGGCTGAGAGATTGGTTCATGGAGAATTATGTTGCAGGTCAACCAACATACTCCATTTTTCACACTCGTCCTTTCAGCTGTGTGCTTTGAAAACTTCAATACAGGGCTTTAGATCAGATACTCTGTCATTATATAGGGCATGACTAGGCGTGATTACATGGATTGAAATGACGTGGTGGGTCTCCAAAATTATGTTAATATCACGTACTGATTCATTTAGAATAAGAAACAAATGAGAAAGTAAGAATTTAAAACTGAATTATTTAGTTACATTTGAAGTAGGGAGTAACTATAAAAAAAGAAGAATGGAAGTAAATACACAGTTAAGAATAATAAAAAAGTCTTATTAAATGTTATTGTAATATTGAACTCCTTTCTAAAATGAGGGTATCTTTAGTGTACGTTGTTTTAAGGTCCATTTTATGGAAGTGAAAATGACTCTAAAGAACATTGTGGAAAATCTTTCTATACCAGAGAAAAGGACACCTAGTTTTCAAGGGAATCTAAAGTGATTTCTAAGTAAAGATTTGTTTGCTGGGCTTTAAATATTGACGGTTGACAATATTAAGTTTGGTAAAAGAATTAATAATCAAACATTTATTGATTGCAGTGGTTCCCCAACAATAAGGGTCTCATGGCTGGAATAGTGTCTGCAGGGATGGCTCTCACTCCAGTTCTAATGAATAGCTTGCATACATTCTTTGTGAACCCTAATAACCTTCAAACTGATGCTGATGGGTAAGTTTGTTGTTCATGTAAGAAGGGTCTAGCGTTCCGGAATAATGTCGTCAGGGGTTGGCTTCACTCCAGTTCTAATGAATAACTTGCATACATTCTTTGTGAACCCTAATAACCTTCAAACTGATGCTGGTGGGTAAGTTTGTTGTTCATGTAAGAAGGGTCTAGCGTTCCGGAATAATGTCGTCAGGGGTTGGCTTCACTCCAGTTCTAATGAATAACTTGCATACATTCTTTGTGAACCCTAATAACGTTCAATCTGATGCTGGGGGATAAATTCTGTAGTTTTAATTAGGAAGAGCCTTGTAAAGGAATTGTATTATACCTTAAATTAACCTTGTTGGTCTGCTTAAAATTTTTAATCAAAGTAGTAGCTATAAAATTTCATAATTCCAAACCTTGTATTCTTTAGCATTAGGAAAAAAAACTGATAATAAAGATATTATGATTTTCAGACTGTGTGTGATAAATGTGTGCGTTAATAAGTTTCATTATTAATATTAGTAACGAATTATATACTTATTGACCTATATGTTACTTGTCTAGCGAATTTTCATGCAACAGTAAATTTGTGTATCAATGTAATTCCTAAGAATTTTAAGTGGATTCATAATGTATTAGATACTTTCTTAAAACCCCAACTTTCCTATTCCTAAGGTTGTGGTCTACTTTGGAAACACAGCGAACATTCGCATTTAAGAAGCTTCGATATTCTACACATCCATGATAGTTCAGTAAAAATAACCACTGATACAGTAATAAATGCAACTATCGATAGAACAGTAAAGCTAATCATGAAAATATTAATAAGGCCAACTATGGATAAACTGACAAAGCTATCTATGGATTAATTGATAATACGACACATGAGAATACCAGTAACGCCAACCATGGCTACATCAATAAATCTACAATGAATACATTAATATAACAATATATGAGAACACCAGTAACGCCAACCATGGCTACATCAATAAACCTACAATGAATACATCAATAAAACAATATATGAAAACATCAATAATGCCAACCTTGGCTACATCAATAGACCAACAATGGAAAGATTAGTAAAGCCAACCATGGATTCATTAATAAAACAATGCATGAGAACATCAGTATTGTCAATCTTGGCTATATCAATAAACCAACCATTAATAAATTAATAAAGCCACCCATGTGTACGTTAATAAAACCAATTATAGATACGTCAGTAAAGGCCAATCACGGACACGTTAATAAAGCTAACCATGAATAATTTAATAAAACCACCCATGTGTACGTTAATAAAACCATTTATAGATACGTCAGTAAAGCCAATCACGGACACGTTAATAAAGCTAACCATGAATAATTTAATAAAAGCCCTTACTTCATTTATAAATAAAATAAAAATACTACTTAATTCATCTGTTTCCAGACATAAGTAATGACACTACAACACATCATAGTGAAGAAAATAAATTGGCTATTGCAGTTCTATTTTTGGGTTAATTACAAATTCCATTATTAATTAAACATAGTGGAAGGCGACAAATATTAGTGAAATAACTCACATTGTTGGAGAGTTTAAATCACATTCTTAGAATATTATGCTTTGTTGATAAGTATATGGTATTGTTTGTCGCTTCCATCATATTAATCAAAATGGTCACTTAATATTCTGTATGTTCCATAGAATATTATGCTTTGTTGATAAGTATATAGTACTGTTTGTCGCTTCCATCATATTAATCAAAATGGTCACTTAATATTCTGTATGCTCCATAGAATATTATGCTTTGTTGATAAGTATATAGTGCTGTTTGTCGCTTCCATCATATTAGTCAAAATGGTCGCTTAATATTCTGTATGCTCCTCTTAGATATTTCTATGACCCTGGAATTTTGGATCGTGTCCCTACCTTGTTCCTGATAATAGGAGGTATACAAGGGGGTATTTTACTTATTGGAGTACTTCTGTACCAAGAACCTCCATCAGAGATAAATGAGGTAAGGAAGATTTGTTCAAATATTTCTTTTATAGTCTGAATCTAATTGATGATGGAAAATTCAAACCTGAACCTTTGGATAGAACATCTTGGTTGGTGGTGTCTGTGAAAACTATTAATTCTCTCTTGTGAAAATGCTCCCTCAGTGTTATTCAGCTGGTCAGTCATGGCTATGGTTATAAGACGTCCTTCCGGTATTTGGTTAGTGTCTTGAAAACATGACATCATTATGGCAGTCCTTTGTAAAAATTCAACAACAACTTGATTGTTGGGTTAATTGGTTCTGAATATTATTTTCCTCTCGTAAAAATCTTTGAAAACCTGGTCTGAGACTTTGAAGAGACCCTAAACTGAAGAATCTATTCCTAAAGCTCCAATACGTTATTGTAATGAAACACTTTTGCCTTCCTATCAGAAAAAAAAAGTATGTAAAACATCACCTTTCTTTAACTAGAAGAACTTCAAAAAGCTCCCTGACTTTAAGTTTGTTAAAAAACTCCGATGAGCGGCGGGTGCTTCTTGCTGTAACATTTAAGCCTAAAGTCAGTAAAACATTTTAAGTTTCAATACCCCGGAGGGGATGAAGTCATTCGCCTATAATATCTTAAATATCCCCACAAGAGTAAATAATAATCAACTCTTTTCGGTGTTCCAAAGAATGAATTTCATTTTGAGCTATAGGACCAAGGTGTTACTGCTGTCAAACAGACTTTTCTATGTAAAAATAGGTACTAATTTACGTTCTATCTATAATTCAGAATATTTCATTTAATTTTCTGCAGCCATCGATTCAGACATTAGAATACTTCCTCTTCTGAATTAATTATTTACCTGTTACGATTATGATTATAGCATCTGTATCAGAGAACCACTATGTGTGAACTGTAATCAGGAACACCTCCCAAGTAAAGACGGAGTACAGAATATCACAATACTGAATAACATGCTATGACACATGAAGTAAACATATCTATTTTAAAGTAAATATGCTTAATGACACGTTCCATACAGATCTGCACTAATATCTAAAGCTTTTTCAGTTCCAGAGATTCAGTCCACTGACACATATATGAGAACCTTCGTTTCCTACCACCAATTGGCATGCAAATCCTGCCAAATCAGCCCCTGCTTGGAGACTTAAAATAGATCTTTTGAACTGCTATGTGGAATAAAGATAGGCTTCAACTTGTATAACTTGTTGTAAGCAATTTGATAGGTCTGTCAATGAATAAAGATAATCAATCTTCAACTTGTACCACTTGTTATATGGAAGTTAATAGGTCTACCAAGGAATAAAAATAACCAATCTTCAACTTGAACCACTTGTTGTATGGAAGTTAATAGGTCTACCAAGGAATAAAAATAGTCAGTCTTAAACTTGTTGTATGGAAGTTAATAGGTCTACCAAGGAATAAAAATAACCAATCTTCAACTTAAACCACTTGTTGTATGGAAGTTAATAGGTCTACCAAGGAATAAAAATAGTCAGTCTTAAACTTGTTGTATGGAAGTTAATAGGTCTATCAAGGATTAAAAATAGTCAGTCTTAAACTTGTTGTATGGAAGTTAATAGGTCTACCAAGGAATAAAAATAGTCAGTCTTAAACTTGTTGTATGGAAGTTAATAGGTCTATCAAGGATTAAAAATAGTCAGTCTTAAACTTGTTCTATGGAAGTTAATAGGTCTACCAAGGAATAAAAATAGTCAGTCTTAAACTTGTTCTATGGAAGTTAATAGGTCTGCCAAGGAATAAAGAACACCCCCTGAAATGGTAGGTGCGAAGACAAAAATCTTCCAAGAATTTGACAATTTTACTATATGGTCACTTTTATTCAGTTAAACCGTTAAAGATTAATTGAAAAAAGATGAAAGTCCTGATAGAATTCTACCAATCCTTTTTTCCTTTCTACAAGACATTTTCTTAAATTCTTTGGTATCCCGTATCTACAATTGATTGTAAAAGCTAGGATATGTTACAGATAAGCTTGGCTGATCCTGTTCTTCGTCTCTCGTTGATCGTTTTTGGAAATGACATTAACATTAACGAATAAAGACAAACTACAAGACATAATGACCAATTTGTGATATTGCAACAAATTTATTTTGAAGTCAAAATTATTCTTAGATTACTAGATACAGGAAGAATTAAATGCTTTAACTTTCCATACGTTAATAACAGTTACAATAATTTATAAAGTACGCCCAACAAGCTACATTTATGATCTAACAAGTAGGTGAATGGAAGTTCTAGGCCATTATATAGAAACTAAAACTAAAATAAGCTTAATGTTTGAGATCAAAAATGTTTACTTTACTACCATTAGTCTATACAACAAAGAAAACGTACAAGAACAATTTATTAACAGTAGTTTTAAACATTTGGCTGAAGTAATATCCAAGCTGAAAAAACAAAGTAGCTCTTTGAACATGACTAATTATTTTATGTTGTTTAGCAGTCTTGAAGATTCACTTCTTGAATGACAACGTGGTCAGTTAGTGCGCCAACATGACCATTCTCATTTCATTAAAAGAAGACATCATCAAAATCCAGTAAAATAACTTTAAATAAAGCAAAAAAACTTAATATATAACAGTTGTACTTCATGAATATAAATAGTACTGTGTCTGTCGTATCCCAGCTGGTATTAGGAGAACGGCGTCATTATTACTAGATATGATAGATGTAGTGTGGTTGAAATATTGTTAAACTTTATATTACCATTGTTGAAATATTTAAATAATATATATGTGACCTTTACAGTGTTGACATATCAATAATGTAAAAAAGAATGAAATGTCATGGTTATTTTAAAATACCAATTATCAACATATTAAATTTCAAAACTATTTATAGATCCAAGTTACGTAAAATTATTGAAAAGTTGAAGGTTCTGTTTAGTATAATTAATGAAAACAACTCACACCCCAGAGCGCCCTCTATACAATACAAAAGCTATTATTATATAGAAGATAAAAGAAGTTACCGCAGAAAAGTTTAGCGAGCAAACCTGAAGGATGAAGGATTCCTAGAAACCTGAGGTATATCATTATTATATATTCCTATAGTAAGTATCAAAACACAACGAAAAATATTGTGCATCACTGAAACTAAATATTGATTATTTTTAAAGTTACAAAAGCTGTACATATATTCAAAGGGGAAAGAAGTTGAAAGGTCTTCTGCATCAGCACAAAGAGAATCGGACTGTGAAGACAAGACGTGTATATTAGCCTTTCAAGAAGACTCAACCAATCAGAAAGTAGAAGAAACACAACCATCATTTTCAAGAAAAGTTGGTGTGGTACCAAAAGAAGCTTTGAGAATGAAAGAATTTTATATTCTATTGATAATGTGCGTTGGTTCGTTACATTCATCACTGTTTGTGAATAATTTTTATAAGGTAAGTGACATGTTTGAATATTAATATGTTCTATTTGTTTTTGTTAACATGTGTTTTGTTTTAGTTTTTAATTTAATTTCATATTATAGAAAAATAAAAAATAATTTGTCATTTGATCATAACATACTCTCATGATGATAATATAATATCATGATAATTTACCATCATGATGACATACTCTCATGATGATAGTATAATATCATGATAATTTACCATCATGATAACATACTCTCATGATGATAATATAATATCATGATAATTTACCATCATGATGACATACTCTCATGATGATAATATAATATCATGATAATTTACCATCATGATGACATACTCTCATGATGATAATATAATATCATGATAATTTACTATCATGATGATATACTCACAGGATAGTGGATCTGGGGTTTAGTACTCCCCCTTCCAGAAATAATCGCCCTCCGTACTTGGGGGGGGGGGGGCTGTTATAAGAATGTTGGTCATCATATTCCACTATAGGATCTGACAAAAGTAGCTCAGAATCTGGTGTTGAGTGGATTATTTCCCTCTAGTCTATCACTTACGGATGGTTAATGCACACAGCACCCGAGTAGCTTTGCACGAAATTCAAACGAACAAATTGTACTAATTTAATTTATTAAATCCAGAGCAACAAACTCCACCTGCATAGTGGGTGCAGTGGAAGCATTCTGGTGATGTACAAGAAATCAAAGAGGCTGCATCTCGCCATACTTGGACACATTGCTTTTTTTACACTTGCTGCAAAGAGACATCCAACCAGGTTTGAACACAGCTATAGCAACTGTTACTTTTAGCAAATCCGGAGAACAAGTTCCAGGTACTTATTAACTACAACGAAGATAGGTACTTATTAACTAGTGCTACAACAAAGATAGGTACTTATTAACTAGTGCTACAACTAATATAGGTACTTATTAACTAGTGCTACGACAAAGATAGGTACTTACTAACTAGTGCTACAACAAAGATAGGTACTTATTAACTAGTGCTACGACAAAGATAGGTACTTATTAACTAGTGCTACAACAAAGATAGGTACTTATTAACTAGTGCTACGACAAAGATAGGTACTTATTAACTAGTGCTACAACAAAAGATAGGTACTTACTAACTAGTGCTACACAAAGATAGGTACTTATTAACTAGTGCTACGACAAAGATAGGTACTTATTAACTAGTGCTACGACAAAGATAGGTACTTACTAACTAGTGCTACAACAAAGATAGGTACTTATTAACTAGTGCTACGACAAAGATAGGTACTTACTAACTAGTGCTACAACAAAGATAGGTACTTATTAACTAGTGCTACGACAAAGATAGGTACTTACTAACTAGTGCTACAACAAAGATAGGTACTTATTAACTAGTGCTACGACAAAGATAGGTACTTACTAACTAGTGCTACGACAAAGATAGGTACTTATTAACTGGTGCTACGACAAAGATAGGTACTTATTAACTAGTGCTACAACAAAGATAGGTACTTATTAACTAGTGCTACGACAAAGATAGGTACTTATTAACTGGTGCTACAACAAAGATAGGTACTTATTAACTAGTGCTAAGACAAAGATAGGTACTTATTAACTAGTGCTACAACAAAAATAGGTACTTATTAACTGGTGCTACGACAAAGATAGGTACTTATTAACTGGTGCTACAACAAAGATAGGTACTTATTAACTAGTGCTACGACAAAGATAGGTACTTATTAACTAGTGCTACGACAAAGATAGGTACTTATTAACTAGTGCTACAACAAAGATAGGTACTTATTAACTATTGCTACGACAAAGATAGGTACTTATTAACTAGTGCTACAAAAAGATAGGTACTTATTAACTGGTGCTACAACAAAGATAGGTACTTATTAACTAGTTCTACAACAAAGATAGGTACTTATTAACTGGTGCTACAACAAAGATAGGTACTTATTAACTAGTGCTACAACAAAGATAGGTACTTAGTAACTGGTGCTACAACAAAGATAGGTACTTATTAACTAGTGCTACAACAAAGATAGGTACTTATTAACTGG